CTATCATCTTATAGTCGGAAAAATACGGTAAATTAAAATTTCATAAAGAAAAATATAACATTTGATGTAAAAGAACAATAATGAATACTACCCCCAATATATAATCCAAAAGAAGGAGCTAATATTAGATAAGCTCCAACATTCCTAATAAAATGATTCCCAAGCTTGTTTAAATTACAGAAGATAGCATCATACAAGCACACAATAATTATTTAGTGTAATTTTCTTGTACTGTATATTGCTGAGATGCTTCCAGCTGTGTGAGGCTGGAAAAAGTTTAACTATTTAAAAATGTGTTATCTGCATTCCTGTGTATTCTGAAATACAGGTTCTGAGGGGTTTGCCCATCCTAGTTATCATACTCCTAACCTATCTTTCCTTTAGGAACTCAGGGTACCATAAGGTCCCCCCTCCCCATGTTTTTGTCAAAGTAGCTCTATGAGACATTTTAAGGAGAGATTGAAGCTTTCCAAAAGTTGCCCAGGAAGAGTCATGGCTAAATGGCAATTTGAAGCTTGATTTTTTCCTCCTAATTCAACTTTCTAACCTTGTACACATTGGCTCTCAATTGGTTTAAACATGTTTTCTTAGTAGTTCAGTTTTGTAATTTAACTATATTTTTTTACCAGTTTTGAATAAGATACTTCTTTTTCTCTGCTGATATCCTAGGAAAATTTATACCAATATGAAAAGCTGATGGTATTTCATAAAACATATTTAAAAATGTTTGCTATTTGGCTTGTTGGGAGACAGGATGAAAGCTGAACTAAATAATACTGAAAGCCTGAAGACATCCTTTTTAATTTGTATACTGTACTAATAAAAGCACAGAATACATCAATTTTAAGGTTTGCCATAAAAGGCATCAATTTAATCAGTAAAAAAATATTGAATTGGAGAGGATGTGACTAACTGCAGATGTGCTTCTGCTCTGTGTCATGTCTGAAGCCACCTCACGTTTAACTCTTTATTCAAACATTTCAGCAAAATAATTCTCAGTCTAAACATGGACTTTTGGCATATATATGAATCTGTCCATCATACAGTTTTATAGAAAATTTGCAAAGTTCTCCAATTTTTTAAAAATAGCATTCTCACAGCCTAGCATTAATGGTGTCTCCTTTTTTCAACCCTCACTCCTCCATAGTCTTGCTCTGAAGAAATAACTAAATAGCACTTACAGGGCAATGGTGCTGTTTAATGTAATTTATTCTGGTATATGAACTGGTGTAGTGAGTTAGTTTGCTTTTCATTTCATACATTGCTATTGAGAAGGCTGGACAGAATAGTCTTCAACCTCATGCCCTACGCCCATGTTATGGTTAGAACTACTAGCATTCTCAAGCAGCATTAGAGAACAGAGAACTTTCAGTTGTGGTGGTTCTCTAGTATTCTGTGACTAGTACCAGTACAAAAGGATTAATGAAGAACTAATGTCTCTCTTTATTCTTAAACTGTTTCTTAATACAGGAAGATGTCAGTGAAGAAGAGCCCAAACTGAAGTATGAAAGGCTTTCTAATGGGGTTGGAGAAATTATTCATAAGGATATAGCCAGTTGCATGACAGTCCATGAGAAAGTAAGTTGTTAATTTTGAAAAATATGCATGACTGTGTTTTTGCTTTATTACTTCCTTGTACTTCGATTTGTTATTGAACCAAGCAATAGGAATTTGGGGGCATGTAATTAATACCAGCAGCTCCAAATGAAGAATGAAACCTGCAAGCTTGTTTTCTGGAGTTCTGACAGGAAACGGCTTCAGGGTGAGCATGAGGGTGCTATTCCTTGCTCAGAAACTATTGGGTTCTGGGAACAGTAGGTTCTTTTCACATATCTAAATTGTTGTTTGACATATTCATTGCCACAATGTTGAGGAAATAGAGGACAAGTATAAGGTTTTGATTTAAATTTTACTGAGTAATCTACACAATCATTTTGCTGATATTTTTGTCAGATAGTTTAGATTTGCATTGGACCCTATGTAGTAATGAATTATTTGTATTTAGCATTAATTCTTAGGGTCCTGTGCTTATAAATGTTAAAGTGCGAATTTAATGGGATCAGGTGTTGTTCAGTCGTTAAGTCGTGTCCGACTCTTCGTGACCCCATGAACCATGTCGCGCCAGGCCTTCCTGTCCTT